TATTGTGGCAATATTGAGTCAAGTCACGGCGTCGTAGGAGCGCTCCATGAAGGATAGCAGCAGCAGCAGGGTCGCTGGTGCAGACCAAAGCACGCCGAGGATTTCAACAGACAGCGTTCAAATATTCCATCATCCCCTGTCATGAATCCAGCGAGGCTTTCCGCGGTTTTCCTAAACAAGCCGGGGGTGGCGGGGGGGGGGGGGGTGCTTAATGTAAATAGGTGTCCACAAGAGCCCATTCACAAAAACCTTGCCTCCGAGCGCACACAGTACCGGGCCTGGCTGCCATATGGGAGAAGCTAATGGGAGGCAAATGCGCGGAGGGGAATCACTGTTCGCAACAGATTGGCCATAAATTCCATGAAGTGTTTTATACCCCCCCGCCGCCGCCCCACCCCGTTCATGACAGCAAGCACCGAACGTGTTAGGATTAAAAAAATAAGTATCATCATTATCCTGCCATTATCTATCCACTGCTGAATGAAGGCCTTCCCATGCAATTTATCATCTGGCAACAGCTTCGTGATCCCACAAACCAACGTCGCTTCTGCACTTTAACTATTCTCATCGTTCCATCTCCGTGGCGGACGCTCCCTTGGGCATCTCCTCTCCCCTTGGCTTCCATTCCATCACCAGTCTCACCCCACCGGCCATCATCCCACACTTGCGATTCATCCTGCGTAAGCTCACTTGTGTTTTAAAAAAATAATTTTGACATCTCCAACATGTATTTACATTAGGTAACGTAATTTTTTTTGATGGCACAAAGATGACTTCGTAACACAAAACATGCCTTTAATTGTTATTATTATACTTGTTTACCAAGGTAAGTGCCATTACTCGTTTTCAATTGGTTCATTTGCAGGTAATTTTTCTACATTGGGATGTTTGGCCAATAGCGGTTCGGCTTGACTTTTGTTGTAAAGCTTTGGGACGAAACCAGAAAAGCCAGAGAGAACATATGCAGAGCAGGGGGGGGGGGACGTACCAACTCCACCCAGAAAGACACCCACCGCAGGGTTCAAACCCTTCTTGTTGTGAGGCACGAGTGTTAGCGGTGCACGACCATGCCAACATAATTAAATACTAAGTAGAACACAATTTTAAACATGTATCTCCATTACAAAACGAATGCATTGGAAATACGTGCCTACAATTGCCTCGATGTATATTATAACCGAGCTGTGACAGTGGTACTTTAAACGCACTGCACAATTGCAGCCTTGATCCTGAAGAGGTTCCAGGGTTTTAAAACCTAAAACGTGTCAGAGCAGCAAATATCTGCACTTCCAGTACCCGTGAGCAGCGAGCAGTGGCTGAGGTGTCCCATTGGATCATAGGTGTCCCGTTGGATCATAGGTGTCCCATTGGATCATAGGTGTTCCATTGGATCATAGGTGTCCCATTGGATCATAGGTGTCCCATTAGATCATAGGTGTTCCGTTGGATCATAGGTGTCCTATTGGATCATAGGTGTCACAGTTTAAGCAGGTCACATGCCAAAATTCCATCCCCTTCAGCGATCCTACCCTCTAACCCCTGACCTCTAATCGACAGCACCCTCCCCCCCCCAACCTCCTCTCTCCCCTCCCCCACTCACCCCTCGAGCCACTGCACCAAATCCACTCTTCAATGGAGCAACCCTGAGAAGAGACAGATGTCCGTACAGATACCGGCCGAGCGGAAGTTTTGGACCAGCAGCCGTCCGCGAAAGTCGGCAGTTTATGCTTATTCAACGCAACTTGCAATCCGGGGTCGTTGCCGTTGTTGTTTGAAAATGGAAATAAAAATTTGCACATGTATTCCACGCGCGCGCGTGTGGGCATAAACTACCGGTTCAAAGATGTGGGCATGAAATACGTATGTTGGCGATTCCATGGCAAAGAAATTGCAAGCGAGCTGCAAGAGAATTAGATGCAGCGGTGAGATGAGTGGCATTGTGTATCGCGCTAACCAGCTGCGTAAGAAAATTCACAAGCTACAAAAGCCCAATTGATGCTCATGCTGCGAATATTGACATTATCAGCCTCTGTGTTACATTCTGTCACTCCGTGAATAAAGAACTGACCACGTACGGGCATGCACTTTCCACGTAAATACCTGTATGGGTACAAAACTGAACTAATTCACCGTATATACACATGTACAGTATGCCTCACGAACAAATAAATAAGCACGTATTTTTGCAGGGCATGATTAAAATAATCAGATTATTTTTTTCGAGTCTTATTAAATTAACTGCAGATATAAATCAGTCTGCTCCGCGGCAGATCGCTAATGCACATTACCAGCACGTCGGGTGCCAAGCTCTTTAATGCATGAAGGTTATTTGCCTCTCGCGGATTATTTTACAGCTGTGATTAATTAACATCCTGTGGGCCAGCAGGAAACGAGCATCGTCCCCGTATGCGCAGGCCCTCTATGCGGCCCTTCACGCTCGCACGAGGTCCTCAGCGCTCGCTCGCTCGCTCGCACGCACTTTCGTAAGTCGCACCTGTGTTGAGATAACAACAAAAAACTTCCCACTTTCCTCGGCTAGACAGCCAACCCGGAGACGAAAAATAAAATCCTTAAACTCTTTGGGAAGCTCCAAAAATAGTTGTACGTATGTCAATTTAAGTTTTGTAAAGTCTGAAACGCATAGGGTCGGAAAAATAAACAAGAGCGCAAGGAAGATTATTCTTTTTTTTTTGCCCCTAAAATCGAGACTTGTTGAGGTACAAAGCAGCAGCAGAAAGAGAGACCAACACACAAAATAAATAGTTCCCTGCCCGGTGCGATCAATCAGGACCTTGCCAGGAAGCCGTGTTTACTCTCGACCATTTCACACATGGGGCACAGACTTGGATGTGAATACCTGTATTAGTGCGCTTGCAGGCACGCACGCACGCTCGCGCACAAACGGCGAGCGGCTATGGCGCGCACGTCCGCACACACGTCCACCCACGCACCATATTTCATGTGCGTAAGAGGCGGATGCGAAGGCCAGTTCAGGGGCTCGCCAACAACACGGCCGCCTGCTGAACACCATTTCGTCGTGCTGGCCGTGTACGGTTATGCGACTGTGCTGCATAGCTCCGCGATGTGGTTTTTTAGGGTATGTACCGCGTGTCGTTCGGCATGTTCCAAATTCAGCGCCCGAAGACGCTCCCGGCACGCGGAGCGGAACGTCGGACATCGTGCCGAACAACAGGCGGTACAAGCCAAGAAGAAAACGCATCGGAGAGAAACCATTTCATTCTGCCACCATTCACGCTGGACCGCCAATCATATTGTAAAGTTCCTTGCTGTTTTTGCCTCGCAGCCACTGTGTTTAAAAAAAAAAAAAAGCTCACATCACTTGCCTGCACGAGATCTCAGCGGAAGCTGAAAATCGTTGCACTTGAAACTTCTGGGAACACCTCCAGCTTAACCCGTTCGCGTATCAAAATATCGGCCACCATGCCGAAAAATTATAACTTCGTTTAAAAAAAACGTACCGTCTCTCTCTCTCTATTTCTCTTTTCAAGTTGGTAAAGTTTCTTGCAAATGTGCTTCACCGGTCTCCAAGGATACTCGAGCGATGTGCAGTCTATGGCTTAATCCGTCGAGTGATCTCCCCAACGGAAGCAGCGCTCACAATGCCACGCTCAGAGCTCTGAAGCCGATACGCTTTATACGGCGGCTTTACAGGCGGCCGCGGCCAAAGAGTAAGCGCAAGATGGGCCCATCCGCTTCTCAAGAGAGTGGCCACACACGCCAGAAAATTGAAGCGACAATGGGGGCAAAGAAGAGTGTGGAGGAGGGGGGGGGAATGCAGCTTTTTGTTAAAACCCAACAGTGCCATGTGCAACTTTTTTGGAGGGAAATAAAACGTTCATTTGTCGACTGCGATTGAATGAATTACAGTTTTACGAGAGTTTTGCATGTCCTGAGACACTTTAAAACTTGCGGGTGTTATTCTCACCCGGCACTTTTTAGCAAATATGACGGTGTCAAAGTGGTACGTTATAAAAAAAAACTTCTTGGCACCTTTTTAAAATCAAAGCTGCGGAGGTGACACGGAGGTTTGCGGTTAGAATCCGGCAGGCTGCCCCTGGTTAATACCGCGGGTGCGTTAGCCACGATACATACACACGTGCCGTTTCCTTCACAGCAGAAGTTAAAATATCCTGCCACACAATTCGAAGTAGAGCAGGCCACCGTCAGCAACGATTGCAAAAATTTGTCAAGATGCTCCTAAAGTAGAGGATTGAAACTCGGCGAGGCGTTCCTGGCTAAACAAGCGTAGTAGTAACAATAACAATAATAATATAAAAAGTAACCCAATAGATATTATGCAGCAAGTCTCTGAGTCTGCAGTAAATTGTCGCTATGTCGGAGTTGTCTTTGCGAAGTTTTACAAAACAACACGCGCTTTACATGTACAGTGCATAGCTACACGGAGTATTATTCGCTCATCATAGCACCGAGCGTGCGCAGTTGTGTTTTCACACTTTCAGATGAACTGCGCGGGCAACACGCTGTTTTGAACGGCTCTTTGCTCGGTGGCTTCTCAGCTGTACAAGAAGAGGGACAGAGTTTCTCACAGTATTCTGCCATGCAGTCTGTTAACTACCTCGCCTGGTATGCAGGAGGTCGTGGATTCGATCCCGACCCCGACGCCTGCTGCTGTATATTTGGAGTGTACGTGCTCTCCCTGTGGTCGCGTCGATTTTTTTCTCCAGGACCTCTGGTTTTTCCCTCCACATTTATAAAGATGCGTTTAGAGTATGCAGCTGCTTTAAATTGCCAGGTGATGAGCCACTTCGTTGAGATATCACTTGTGGGAAGGTCGCTTCTAAAAAAGACATACATAGCTCAGTGGGACTTACATTGTAAAAATAAAAAACAAAAATGTTGGGCCTTTGAGCCTGTGCTCGGCAACTGTGTTTTTTTAAAAAAAGCACAAATCACGTGCTCCCCAATTCCACCCATCCGTCCTTCTCACGCAACACCATCTCCGCGTCTCCCGTCCTTACCGTCCGGCCGGTCGGTGCTGGCGTCCGTGGCCCCCCTCTGCTCCACGGGGGACGGGCGCGCGGACACGACCAGGGCCAGCATCGCTCCCAGCAGCAGCGAACCCGGCCCCAACACAGACATCTTGGGCGGCATCGAGTCAGCGCATCCCACGGGAGCTCCCGGCACGGCCGCTGACGCCTCCACCGACTGCGCACGGGAGAGAGGGAAGCAATTAGAGCGCGGCCCACCACCGCCATCATCGGGACGCTGCCACAGCGGCGTAACGGTTATCGCACTGGACTTGCAAATCCAGAGGTTCGATCTCTCCTGCAGACAACCAATTAGCACGGCGGGTTACGTACGGTGCGAAAGAAGTTCAACATACATACATACAAATCACCACCACCGCCCGCTATTGTTTACCCAGCATATGATGGGGTAAAGTGTGGGTACTTATTCCTCTTCAAAAACGTCTGGTCGGCAAAGAAGGTCAATTTACCCCGTAGAACTCTCCCTCTCGTAGAGATGCTATACCCAGCAGTGGAGCGAGCACGTACTTGCAGGGCTGCCCCTTTAACCTTCTATGAGCCAAACCTCCCTTAACGCGAGCCTTGACCTCTGCAGATCTCGGAAGCTAAGCAGTTCTGAGCCTGTTTAAAGTTCTTGACTCATTGACTACTTGCGAATACCACAATGTTGTAGGCGTGGGTTAGAAATGTAGTGTAGCCATAGAGTCTTGCACCTATCTTCATGGAGCTTTGAGTCTTATTCCCTTATTTGGTCGTGGGTATCTTTTGCAATCCGGTTTCCTCACAAGAAGGGAACTCTTGAAATATAGTCTTGAGACTCAATGAGCCTTTCCCTGGAGATTAGATGAAAGGCATTATGATCATGATTGTGAGTTGCATCACTTTTGGACACCGCGGTTAATGTTTCTCGTTTTGAGTTATGCGCTCAGGAACATCAGCCGTTTCCTGAAGGAAATGCCCAATTTGCGGAGGGATAGGCGTGAAAATTGGACTTTAGATGTTCTTGGGTCCTCTAAGCCCCCTTCATTACTTACAGACACGGCACAGTGCTTTGTTTTTACACATACCGGACTGCTCATAACAGTCAAATCCCAAGACTCATTCTTATCCCATTCCCCCACCCACACACGAAAACCTACAGACTTTGCACAGACCTATACGGGCACTCACGCCCGGTCACCTTCGCCCCCCAAGTACTCGTGTTTACACGCCGCACCGGGTACTCGTTTAAGGCCGAGTCGACCTAGGAGAGGCTCAGAACCGCTTCAGACGTCGCTCGCCACCGATGCCGCTACGGCCGTGTTCGTAGCCACGTGGCTGGACATTGTTAGGTGCTCTCTAACAGCACTTGCCCCCACAGTCTACTGAAGGCTACACGGGGAATCTCTATCTTGGTGACGGTAGGTACACGTTTCACAAGAGACACACACACATATATACCCTTATACAATTCAAATATTCTATTATTCATACTTTCATATCGCATATAGCCTTTAACAGACGTTTGGCGCAAGTGCTGTTAGCGAGCACCTATAAAGGCACACAAGGGGGTGGGCGGCCAGCAACCAAGCCCGGTCGCCTTTGTCTCCCCAGTGGCGATGTTTACACACCGCACCAGCTACTCATTTGAGGCTGAGTCGACCGAGGGGCGACCCAACGCCGGTTCACTTTTGTTGGCCGTTAGTGGGAATCGAACTCGGGAGGGCCGGTTTCGTCGCGCAGGGCGCTAACGGCGGCACTTACCGCTCCCCCACAGCACACACACATACATAGTACACACAGTACACACTACTCGTACAAACACTTCATGTCCACTCTCACACGTAAGACTGTTGGGGCAAGTGCTGTTAGCGAGTAGCACCTATGAAAGGCCGGCACGGCACACAAGGGGGTTGGTGGCCAGCATTACACCCGACCGCCTTTGTCTCCCCAGTGGCGATGTTTACACATCGCACTCGGTACTTGTTTGAGGCTGAGTCGACCTAGGGGAGACCCAGGACCGGTTCTGATAATCCTCACTGGTGTTGGTAGCCGTGAGCGGGAATCGAACTCGGGCCGCCAGGTTCGCCGCGCTAACCGCTACACCACCGCTCCCCTCTCACGCAGACACACACGCGCGCACACACACAAACGCACCGACACAATCACACACACACAGAGCTCAGGTGAAAAGCGGTGGAGTGAAAAATGGACTGCGCGTATACAGTCTAGAAACACAGTACTCTCTATACACCGCGCTGACATAGCGCGCAAAACGCCGTCAGTGTGCGCGTGGCAGCGCTGGCTTGTCGGAGCTCACGCTCGGTGCGGCTAGACGCATAACCCGTAAGACTCACCACCCTGCCCTACTTTACATCCTGCCTTCAAATCCCGTCCACGGAGTTATCTTACGGCCCCGTAGCACGTCGACAAGATGCCCTCTTCAGATACGACGAGTGCGTAAAATGACGACGCCGTTTCGTCGATTTACCCATGGGTCATTTTCCGTCCCGTTTTTTTTGACAGCGTCCTTTGTTATGGGAACCTCATTTGCTAGTAAAATATGATAATTGGTTTTTTTACCCTTCTATCTGGCAACAAAACTGACACCTTTTTACAAGGAGTCATGTTTGCATAGACCGCAATACCTGCAGTCATAATACAAACAAAAGAACATAACTCTGATAATGTGCACTGTCCTTGAAGTTGATTGGTCCAAACTTCAAGGACAGTGCACATTATCAGAGTTATGTTCTTTTGTTTGTATTATGACTGCAGGTATTGCGGTCTATGCAAACATGACTCCTTGTAAAAAGGTGTCAGTTTTGTTGCCAGATAGAAGGGTAAAAAACCAATTATCAGCGTCCTTTGTGTTTGTGTTGTTTCTCGTTCTGTTCCCCATTGAGTTACATTATCAGCAAATGGAAATGTAGGCTGCAGCATCAATCGCAACAACAAAAGACTGGACGAACGAGACGAAAAAGCCCTGGGAAACAATGCAAATGCGACGGTTAAAATAAAACGACAGGCTAGGACAAATTATTTAATCAAATCGTGGATCGAGAATGAGTTTTACACCCCTAATGCCACCCGAACTCCGAGAGGCTCTGTGATTTGTTTTGACTTCGGAGCCTTCTGAGACATCGACCGATTGCCGCATGAAGAACAAGCTGGTCACACAGGGTTGGGTCGGGGAGAGGTTTGGTTATAGCCGTGGCTGTAGAAGTGATTCTTCTATTCGGGGAAGGAGGTGCAGCGTTGATTCGGTGGATACGAAGAACACGCAAATTTGCTGTTTGTTTATTCAGATGAGCCTCGCGGAGTCTCTAGGCTATCTTTTCAGAAGGGTGTTGCTACAGTGGGGACGTTTGGCTCATTCCATTGATGAGTATTTTGCCTTCGTGTGGAACGAAAAGCAAAATACTCGGAGAAAATCCAATCACGCGTACCAGGGGGTGATTCACTCCAAAGCTCCACACAAATAGATTCAATAATCCATTGCCGGGCTGCCGCCCTCCTGTCCCTTGTCAGGTAGGTGTGAGGACTAAGGGGCTGGAGTAGCGACAGGGTGATTAATGGCTGTTTGATGGGGGTAGAGATGGGGACAGGGGTTTTGTTCAAGGGTAGGGTTCAACAATCATCGTCAGCCATCATTAATCCACCGCTGGTTGAAGGACTTCCCAAGCCGATGCCACATGTTGCAAATACGCCTATTAATTTCTAAGGTGTGCCTTTAATACAATTCTCGTCACGAGACAATTTTGCACGTGGGTGTTCTGATAGCATCAGATGATTTCAAATAATTAATCGTCGGTTAATGCACAAAGGTATGTTGTTAAGAACAAAAATCAATGACAACAATTTCCTCCAGAATAGATTTTTTGCAAACTTTATGCGTAATTCTTTACGTTCAAAAACCAGGGAAGCAGTAGAGCAGCAGTCGAGTGGCCGTGTCATCCCCAGACGCGGCTAACATCAGCGTCGAATAATAGCTAAACCGATTGCCGAGCACCCCTCAACATCAACCAACCCGCACTGACGGGAAAAGTGAAGTATAGTCAAACAATCCCCATGAGCAGCTGCGCGAGTGGTGTTCTCAATCAACCAGTGGAATGACAAAGGAATCATCAATTACTAAAGTATTGTTATAATTATTGACAACACATACAAATAAATCACGCCCTACGTTTCGACATGTTTTTTTTGTTACACATGCTCTTCCCTCGTCTGTTTCCCATTGCTATTTTTGTCATGGGGCGGTGCGATTAAAATATTGTAGCTTATTTTTTTTTCCATGTACGATGTACGTGGCCTTGACCGCAAGTCCCCAGACATTATCGTCATGCAGAGAGAGCGCGCGGAGAAGAGCGAAAATGTGGAAGAGCGCCAAGAGATAGGTGCTCTCTAAACAAGGGCACACGAGTTGACGCGGCAGGCTCTGCCCAACGAGCGCCTGCTCACTTCCAAATAGGACTCTGCTGCGCCTTGTTGACATTCGACATGTGGTGTCGATTCGACATCATGTAACTCACGGCAGCAGTGGGCCACGATGGCCAACTGTCGTGCTGATGTCTAATAAAGGCAAAGCTTGCTATGCCTGTTGTCTATAATGAAGCGGGGGTAGAGGGTGCTATTGTCTCGACTGCTGTCGAATTACAAAAAGAATGTCAGATTTTCCTCTCCTCTTGAGCTTGGTGACTATCACAGGCATTGTGCGTTTTCTCTTTGAAACACCTTGGGATCGATATACCATTATTATTCCAATTGTTTCCAGTCTGCGCACATGTTTTTTTACAGGCTGATAGGTTTTCTCATTAGCTGCACAGAGTGCGTGAATTTCATTATTTAACTCGTAAAAAACAACTAAGTTCATGTTTTTGATCTTACACAGGAAAGTATCGGACGAAATTGACTACAGAATGCATTAAAATTAACATACACACTATTAATACCGCGTAAATCATGATGTATGTATATATTGAGCTTCTTTCGCACCGTACGTAGCCAACCGTGCTAATCGGAGGATGGATAATTAATCATCGAATTTGACCAAGCACCTGGCGCCACAGCGGACTCATCTTGGTAAGCGTCAATGTCTGTGCCAGTCGTCGCCTCTTTGAAAGACAGCCAGTTCTGGGATCGTTCACAGAGCAGCGCACGCCCGTTTGGAAGGCGATCAGTGAGGGTCCTCACATTCGA